TTCACTATCAAAAATAATTTTTTTCGACAGGCCAGGGGGGGAGGAGACGGTACATATGTGTACCATCAGGTTTTTAACTTGGTACAAATATGTACCACGAGTTACCAAATCATAGAAACAAAAAATATTCATTTATTGAACAAAATTAAAATGGTTTACAGATTTGCGGTATTACAGAATAAAATCTTTGTTAGTACAACATAAAAACAACTCAAGTAAAAAAAACAAATAGACACAGAAATAAACCTACATTATTTTCTCACACACTAAGCTTCCAAAAACTTTTAGGAAAACTTACTTTGTGTGATACAGTGAGAAACAGTCTTTGCATAAAGGTATGTTACATTCTTGACAGAGAGTCTTAGTCCTTTTTTGATGTTTCTCTCTTGAGCATCTTACACACCTTCTTCTGGTTTGTCCTTCCACGGGAAGGTGTAAGGGCGTGGTTCCATACAGTTTTCTTTTTTTGGAAACAGGGCCCTTTTTAGGAGGTGGTAAATTAGTATTTTTGATACATTCTGCTACGAGTTCTTCAGCAAGGTTTACCAGAAATGGCAGAAAAGCAATCTTTCCGTTTTCACGCCTCAGGTCGTTATATATAATCCATGCATTCACGGCAAACATACTGAGGCATGTGTACCATACTTTTTTCCACCATTTCGCAGATTTTCTGTCGTGATCATAGACTCCAATCATCTGATCCGCTCTATCAACACCTCCCATTTTTTGCCTATAAAATGATATGGCTTCTGGGCAATCAATCACTTGCTGCTCTCCGGTTTTTGTTTTCTTTTTTATGGTGGTAACGTCAGGTTTGTGGCAATTACTCATCAATAGTACCTCTTTGGTATCTTGCCATTTGACACACAACAGCCCACTATTTGTTGTCCTGAATTCAGACTCTCCACGTTTTAGTTTACCCCTTATTTTAGGAACGTTTCTTCTATTGGTCATGCAAGTACCAAAAGCGGGGAAATCTATGGTTTCCAATAAATTTACACTAGTAAAGAAACAGTCGAAGCATAGAACTACATCTTGAGATTTGATAGTTGATGCTAGTGACTTCACAACTCTTTCTCCAAGGGTCAAAGCTTCATCTTGATCTGTTGTAGTTGATACTTTACCGGAGTATACATTTATATCTTAAGTGTAACCTGAATGAGCATCACAACGAAGCCACAACTTGATGCCTCGTTTTGTAGGTTTTAGAGGCATATACTGCTTCAAAGACGAACGTCCTTTGAATTTAGTCATTGACTCGTCAATGCTTTGAAACTGACTATCTTGGCGACATTTACTAAATGTTTGTGTGAGGCATGACGTTAGGTCGTCCACATAATACGTTTTAGAGGGATTTTCTGGTTTTTCTGGGGGTGCAAAGTACATTTTTGAGGACAAGAGCATATACCGATCACGTGATATCGTTCTTGCAATAGTTTCATTTCCCATTGACTTCTGCTGACTCCAGTAATGTTTCAAACCGGGTAGTTTATTATAAGACATCACAAACATGCATCCTATTACTTTTTGTATTTCTCCTTTATCAGTTTTTTTTTCATTTCGTTTTTTGGTCTTATTTAGAATATCAATTCGCTGATTTGTACAGTCCACTATATGGAGATATAATGAATGGGGAAATATTTTATGAAAAACGTCCATTGGAGTCATATTTTTATTTATTTCTTTGTGAACTGCAGCAGATCTTTCAGGGGGTATAATTTTTGCAGGAGTGAATGAGGCAGTCGGCAGTACCCATTCTATAAGCCGATTTTTATTATTTGGAATTTGCATTACCTGTTCTGATTCTGACTCACTTCCTAAATTTGAATCGGAAGAATCATTCAATGGAGGGTCAACCAATGGTGGTGATGGATTGTGATAATCTGAGCACTGTGATGTATCACTTTGTTCATCTTCATTGGGGTCATAGTTATCACTAGATCCAGAACTAAACAGTTCTTCTTCCAACTCCGACAAATCCGACATTTCATCAGCGAGATTTTGTAGTTCCCTCTCGGCTAATGCTCGACCGCAGCGTTTCATTTTGGTACTGAAATCAAAATAAAATGCGTTGTAATACATCGAACCTGATCCATATACCTACAGGTTTTACACTATACAAACAACATGTAATTACGTTACTATTTTACAGGATTTTGTACTATGCCTATTTGGCGCGTAGTAAAAAAACAATAAATTGAACCCTGCTGGTAAACTTATGTACCATCAAAAAACCCTACTGGTAAACATATGTACCACAGCAAAAAAAAAATCACCAAAAAACAATAAACAAAATTATTTTATACATACCTCAATGTAGGAACACTTTATGAACAATTTGGGAACTAACGAACAATATAATATTGTATCATATAGGAGCAATTTGTAAAAACGTGCAGAAATCGTCAACATGTGGCACCGCGTTCGCAGTCATCTGTGCACTGGCGTAAAATGTGTTATAAACGTGGCATTTTTTATACTCAAGCATGAAGACGGAACCCAAAGATCCGGTGTGGTACAAATGCCGCTTAGATAGAACGTTAAATCGGGCTGCCAGGTTTTTAAAAAATCTCTGGTACATATATGTACCGCTAGGGACGAAAGGGTTAAATTCCTTACAATTACGAAACTTACTGGAATTAAAAATATCAAACAGTTTATCCATATTTTCAATAAATTTTATGGTTTCTGCTGCTTCCTGTGGTAACTGCCCGAACGACATATAAGTATCTAAGGCTGCAGCAACAGAATGGCTAAATATCTGACTTGCCAGTTTTACTCTCATTCGTTCAAACTTCGTTGGCTCCATATGATGGTCGGTAATTTTTGGAGCAAGTCTAAAATTTTTAACTTTATCAAGTTCGTACATTTGTTCAAGATAAAGTTTCTTTACAATATGGCCGTTAATAATTAAATCATCATCAAATAAATGATTTCTAGTATTTTCTAGATTTCTAGTGGTTGACCCATTTATTATAGTGTCACACTGGTGATAAATATGTCACTAAATAATATACGAGCCCTAACAACTATATATTGGGACAAAACAAAATACATCAATTATATAAGTAGTTGACAGTAATTTTTTCTAATAATTGTTCTTTTATTTAATTACTGTTTATTTAATTAATTAGCAACAATTTTGGTCAATCTGCACCAGAAAAAAATAAAATACTTATTCTATAATCACTAATTAACATAATTAACAAGAAAAAGGTGCATTTTGTGTGGCAACTAAATAATGGGACATAGAACAAATTTTTATTTTTAAAATGGAGTAACATCGCCCTTAGATTTTATGACCGCTCGAATTCGTTTGGGCATTGACTCGATCAAGGATCTGCACTGTTCGGGGGAAAAGGCATTCCAAATCTGCTCTATTTTGGCTTTAAGTTCTGGTAATGTCCGTTGTGGGTTGTTTCTCAATGACTGTTTCATTTTATGCCATACTGTTTCTATAACATTAAGGTCAGGACTGTTGGAAGGCAAAGAGAGGACATTAACATTGTGGTCTCCGAACCACTTTTTGGTAGTTTTAGCCGTATGACAGGCCGCCCCATCCTCTTGAAAGATATAATTTTCAACAATATTTAACTTCTCTACACTTGGCAGTAGACTGTTTTCAAGTATTTGTTGATATTTTGCGGCATTCATGGTACCATCAATAAATTCAAAGCATCCTAATCCTGATGCAGCCATACAACCCCAAATCATTACTCCTTTAGGAAATTTTACAGTTCGTTTTAAGCAATCTTTGTGAAAAGCCTCATTCTTAGTGCGAATTACCCGTTTGCGGTAATCACCAACGCATACATCGAACTTCGATTCATCGCTAAAAATTACCCGAGACCAGTCTTCTACTGACCAAGACAATTTAGATTTTGCCCATGTAAGCCTGGCTTGCTTTTGTTTTGCTGTTAATAGTGGCTTTTCCTTTGCCTATAAGAATATTACATTTTTAAAAACACCTTTTTAAATTGTTACCTGTAAATTTAACCTTATAAACTTAAGTCCACTTTTATGTATCCACTTGCGACAGCATTCCCTTGACAAATTTAGACCCGTTTCATGATTCCACTCAGCTGTAACTTGTCTTAAAGTATTTCTTCGGCCTTTTTTGCATAATTTTACCAAGACTCTTATTCCTGTCCGAAACTACTTTTGGGCGACCTGACTTTTACGTTTTTTTTCCAAGATATTTCCATTCTCTCCATAATGTTTAATTATATTCCACACTGTAGTTTTAGGTATATTAAATTCAGCCGCTACTACACGTATTGTTTTATTGCGACAATAACTTTTAATCACTAACAAAGTTAACAGACTCAATGCAATCTATTTCTCTTGTTTATCCGTAAAATACGCATTTCTACCCATTCTTGCAAGTGTGAGTTCAACCTCTTTTGAATTGAAAGGTTTAATAATTTCTACATTGCTGGGCGACCTTTCGAATAGATGTTCTATTATTAACTAAATTTAAAGCCCTCCCTAGATCTTCCAGACTCCATGAGGACTTGTTTGTTATCCTTTGTCGATTTCTCAGTATTTAAAAAAAAAACTTAATACACACTACAAATTTAATGTTGACTCTTGCATATAAAAATTAAATGCGCCAACAGAAGCAAATCAATTAAACAGATGTAACCTCCATTTCAGTATGCATGATTTTCTGCAAGGATACAAGATTGTTTCTTCCATTTTGAACATTTTTCATTTTATATTTTGATTGTTTTGGTTTTTGCATTTGTGGCTTTCCTTTCTGCCAAACTAATAGGTACAAGTTCCATATCAGTCTCCAAATTATCTGTTTGTTCTTGTGTAGTTTATTATATCAATTGAACATTTGATTCGCTACTTTCATCTGAGAGTACTTCAGGAACTAAATCTGGTTAAATAATACAAAGGGGTGTTAAAAGCCGGAAAATTAAAGTTAAAATCGAGGCTAAATTTGATGTCGAATTCGATGCGTTACAGACGCCAAACTTAGTAGATTCCCAGCGGTTGAGCACCAACTGGGCGCGTCTCCAGGTGGCGGATAGGAGATCGGTCAGGATATCCTGGCTAGCGGTAGAAATAAGTAGAGTGAGAGAGCCTGAAAACTCTTAAAATCTTTTGCGAAGGCTACCGCCGCGGACCAACTCCTCCAATCTAAGGTGTAAGGTAACGTGCCGATGGATGAATTGTCGCAGGGGTAGATGCGGCAGCAAACGCTTCTCTGAGGGCACCAGGCGACCCCCTCTTGTATCTAGCCTTGCCGGCGCACGCGGGGCTCTGCGTCGGTCGACTTTTTTTTCCCTAGCTACTCGTGGGAACACAATGGATTCAAACACTAATATTAAACCCGAGGAGGCTGGACGGCAACGTTCACCTCCAGCAAATGAGACTGGACAGCTACGTCCACCTCCTACTAACGAGGCGGAACAACAAACTTCACCTCATATAAAGAAGCATCGCAGAAAGAGGATCTCCGGTGCTGAAGCCAAACGGAGAAAGAAGGCAAAACTGCAGGCAAGCAACGATTCAGCAACTGCCGCCAGATCAAAATTCCCTCCCTTCAAATCCAGCCCAAGCGGCCCGATCAAGTTCTTGGGTAGCGATGTTAGTTCTGCCTCCGCAAGAGGCCAGGAACACGTTGCAACCAACACAGAACTCCCTCCCTCCAAACCCAGCACAAGCGGGCCAATCAAGTTCTTGGCTAGCGACGTTAGTTCTGCCTCCGCAAGAGGCCAGGAACACGATGCAACCAATACAGAACTCTCACCCTCCAAACCCAGCTCAAGCGGCCCAATCAAGTTCTTGGACAGCAACGCTAGTTCTGCCTCCAAAAGAGGCCAGGAACGCGATGCAACTATGACCAAGAAAACGCGATTTGACACCTCATCCGAAAACACCCACCGAGAAGGGAAAAAGCCTAGATGGAAACACAAAGTTATGCCTCGAATGAGCTACAAGGATGCAGCCACGAGCCATCTAAATGTATCTATTATAGACAGGGAAAACCCTTACGGTAAGATAACTGCCGAAAGAGTGATCCTTGTCAAAAAGGCGTTGATGGGAGAGCTGGACAAAACAATTTTGTCCGCCTCCGGCAGCAAAAATAAGCCACCAACATTCAGGTCTTGGACACACTTTGGTGAAATTATCAGAGTGACGTGCGACGATGATCTGTCGTTGGAATGGTTAAAAAGCACGGTACCATCCTTAAATACATGGGAAGGAGCATCACTCGTTGTTGGAAGGGTGGATGGGCTTCCCAAGCTGACCAAATCGTCTCTCTGGGTCCCAGGGGAAGCGCAAGAGGACCTCGAAAAGAAGGAGATTGTGCTGAGGCGTCTTGAGGCCCAGAACCCCAACTTAAATGTAGCGAAATGGTGCATCTTCCACCATGAAGCCAAAGTATATCCTGAGGGCCATCTCTTCGTCTTCGGCATCGGAGACGAAGACATGGAAACCCTAAAGGCTAAATCGATGAGGATGAGCTATGGATTTACCTCATTGAACGTAAGATCAAAGTTAGAAAAAGAGACTGTAGCGAGGACCAGAGAAGAATCCTCTGTAGGGGATCCTCCTCCACCATAAGAAGGGGCAATGGCGGAGGCCGTCTAGCCAGACCGATGACCTCCAGGAAAACCACTTCCAGAAAACTAACGAGACCTATTTGATGTACAGGGTGGGCCACCGGTAACGCTTCGGTTTGTCAAAACAATTTGTTTTTGAACCTGTTTTCACAGCGAGGGTTTATAAGAAAAAGGAACAATTTAAAAATAATTTTAATTATACAGGGTTCTTCAGGAAAGTGATACATATCAAAGTTAGTTTTTTTTTTTTAAATGAAACACCATTTTATTTCATATTTGAATTGACCTCCCTTTTTCATTATAATAATACCAAATAATTGGTATTATACAAGGTAATTCACACGCTATAACCAGTTTTATATGAAAATCATATTGATTTCAACGACCTGTATAATATTGCGAAAGGAACAATTGAAAAACCATTTTTTCACAGTAAAATTTTTTAGATATGCCGATGCAATTAAAAACAAATCTGTACAGAGTGAATCAAAATTCAAATACATAATTTTCCCATTTTTTAAATTGGCCACTGTATTTTTATCACTATTTAAAAGTACCCGAATTATACATTCCCTATACCTAAAGTTATTAATTTTGGGTGTTTTTTAAATTTAAATGACTAAAAAGATAAACAAAATATTTTAATTGTAACTGGTTACTGGAAATAGACTGAATAAATTTTTTTAACAATACCCAATTCGACTTTTACAGTCAGTAAAAATAGTAAATAAAGATAACAACCAAAACATCACATAACACATACTTTTTTCTAATATTTATGGATGCTTATTGGTCGTTTTCAAAGGTCCAAAATGTCACATGACTAAACATTTTCTAAGCAACTGAAATTCTTTTATTCACGACAAAAGGTAACATTAACAAACTTGCTAGACTTTTTTAAATCAAATATTGCAACACTTATGACATTAGTAATAACGAACTATTCGATATTGGGGTCAACTTAAAAATGTCATAAACTTGGAAAAAGTAGGTATTATAATGCAGTTAGTCTATGATTTGTTGTTATTGATACTTATTTTTCATTGAATGTTAAATTCCTATTAGAAATTTTCAAAACCTTATTTAGTCGATAATAACTTTCAGCCGGTTAAATTTTAATTACTAATTAACAATTAGTCTATTTCTTATTTACTAGTGACCAGTTAAAATTAAAATATTTATGGATAATCTTTGTTTTCATTTAAATTTAAAAATCTTCCAAAATTATTTACTTTAGGTATAGGGAATGCTTAACTTAAATGAAAGTTAAATTAAGAAAATGATTTGAAATATTGTTATAATGGGAAAAAGAGCAATTCAAATTCAAAACCAAACTTTGACGTGTATTCCTTTTCTGGAGAACCCTGCTATATATTTCGCTGTGAAACAGATTTAATAAAAATCAAAGAGTTTTGGCTCTGCAGGCAGAGACCTTTCTTGTGGCCCACCCTGTATACAAAACCACACGTGATCTACTTGTATTTAGTAATACTAGTTAATTTGAAACACTATTTCTGTAACTAATTGTTTGATAAATAAATAATGTCAGATTGAAATAGGAATATTTTTCGTACCTGTGTATGTTTGCATTTCGGAAATAGACAAAAAAAACTAAATTTACGTTTTGATAATAAATTGAAACTTACCAATCTCAATTTACTTAAACGAAAATCCTATAAGCAAATATTTGAAAATAAAATTTAATTAAAAATTCACCACCCAAATTTAATAAAAAGTAGTAGATACTTATCTAAAAAATCATTAATTGCAAGATCGGGAACAGCAGGTATCAGAAAAACTGAAATGTGTTAAAAACGAAAACACAGAATAATATAATGAAATACGTTTAGGGGTTCTTATGAAGAAGAAAACCTCGGGAATAAAGCAAGAGATGTTTTTTTTTTCGGGAATAATTCTCGAACGACTTCGATAGACGCTCGGGCTTGTACGTGCGGCGGCTCTATCTTGCTGAAACCATGTATCCTAACTAAAACCAATAAATTCTTGCAGCTAAGGTACCAAAAACTCCCGCAGCATGGCACAATAACGATCACTATTTACAGTCTGAGCTACGCCGTGTCGGTTCTCAAAAAAGTACTTACCGATAATTCCTATCGAACACCACACAGTTATTTTTTTAACCCTGTAGGGGCCTTTCATGTTTTTTATGGTGACCAATTTTGCTTATTAACTGCGCCTAAAAGGTAAAAAATCGCCTGGCTACTGAACAGAATATTGTTAATTCAGTCATTCGCAAAATGGTTTATCATTGTTTCGGCGAAAGAACGACGGTTTCTAAGATCATTTGGGTTTAATTTTTACACTAATTGGATCGTATATGGATGAAATCTCAAATCTCTCCTTAAAATTGTGTAAAAAGATGATTTGCGTATTCGCACCACTTGTGATGTTTTACGAACAGATTCACTTGGATTTCGCGGCACGTACAGCCACAAAATTTTCAGGAACAGTTACAGTCCTTGGACGACTACGGGGTTTACATTTACAGCTGATGATCTTTCTCTAAACCTCCTCACTCACTATTTGACCAAATTTTTACTTGGTGCATCCTCCATACGCCTAATATTGAAGTAAGCACAAAACCTTGGCCTTGCAACTGTGTACGAGCCGTTGCTCTTGAAGTATGACTCAATAATGAACGCACGATGCACATTTGACCAACGCTCCATTTTTACTAAATAATCCTTATCGATCCACTATCGAACGACGCTAACCCGACCTTGCTACGTTACATTGTAGCCAAGTTTAAAAAGGGAAATCCATTCCTGGACCCTTGTATAATGGAATATTTACCCATATAGTGCAAATGCAATATTTTGGGTAAGGAGTAAGCAAAGACACAATAAAATGGGACGACACTGTCTGTATTGTGCTTGCAAAAATTAATTATTCTTTTCCATCCACTCTGTTTAGTTATAATTTTTAATGTTATTTACCTATATAGTAAATATTGTAAATCCGTTAGAATAGTGAACCTCATTTGAGTACTACTTTTTTATACATCTATGGTTTTAAATTTGTCAATATATCCTTATGTATTTGTAATATTGTTGAATAAAATAGTGTATAAATAAAAATGTGATTGGTTCTATCAAATTTACAAGCCACCTTCCGTCACGAAAAATAGGATTTTGTGATAAAATTAAATTAATATCTTCCTCTGGAAAAAGAAATACTGCTCATAAGTAAAATAAGTAAGGAAATGTACTTACAGGAAGATGACCGCCTTGATTTCGTCTGCGCAACTTTCTTGTTCCTGGATCTTCGAACAAACAACTGAATTTTATCAGGAATTCTTGCAATTCCGTGTAGTGGATCCTGTTCGCAGCGCTAATTATGTTTTCACTCACTAAAAGTACTTTTAAAAAAGGATATTTATTTATTACAAGGAATAATATACAATTATTCTTTAGAATATTGTTGAATTGTTTACAGCACAAAGAAGATAAAAATAGTAACAAGCTAACAGAGTTAAAAATGTATTTATACTAAGTTTACCCTATTTGGTTAAAATAGAAGCAATGAAGGTCCATTGAATTGAGTGGTTACGCTAACGTTTCTATACGCACATTTCAACATATCCAGTATTAGAACTATCATACAGAAATTGCTTGTACTTGGACACAGCAAAAGTTTCTTTCGTACCAGCACCTCTAATTCATGTACTGTATGTTTTTTAATAATTCTTAAGATTGTCTATTTGAAATGCCCAAAATAAAAAAAAATATGGACTAGAATATGTGGCAGCGACATATTTTGCGTGTATTTTTATATCGCCATTAAAAATAATTATTTCCACCACTAATAATAAAATTCCACCATTTCATATCATTTACAATAAAATAAATGCCAATAAATCATTCCAAATCTAAAAATTACATTTATTTTTACTCATACTCACGTTACGCCCATGCCTAGCCGGTTTGCCAGAGTTCTCAAAAATGATCAAATGGCCGCTTTGTTACGTCAGACCTGCGCCAATGCGGTTTAAAACTGAAGCTTGTTAGCGTTAATCGATCGATAAAATGTAATGGAAAATTGAACTTACAGTTTCTTTACTTTATACTCCAGTCGCCACAACACCGCTTCAATGCTAATCATTTACTCCCACAAATTCTTGGAATTCCACAAAATGCCGGTACTAGTCAGGAAAATAACGCAAATATCGCCTTTATCGTGAATTTTCCGCACAACACTTCTGATATGTTACAGTATAAATCAAACGCCAATTCCGAACAATTTCGCTTTTATTCAACTAAACAAATAATTACAACGCCAATCGCCAAAATTAAACATAAATCAATAATTCGCCCAAAACAGACTAAAGCAGACTGAATCCTGTCTTCCTCGTGCTTCTCGTCCGCCTAACCCCGATACCTGTACTGTAATATATAATAACCCCAAAACTAATCTTAAGGCGCATTTACATGGTTCACTTTGGATGATCACTTTGGATGAATCATCCAGAGTGAATTTGACCATTTTAAAAAAAGAGGTTTACATTGATCAACAAAATTGAATTATTCAGTTCATTCCAAAATGGCACCGAATAATCTAATTGTACGTGTAGGAATTGCGGTAATTAGTGAATACCTTTCGAGCAAACTGGAAAAAATAAAACGTAGAAGAAATAGGCGTTGGTGGATCAGGCCGTGGGTAAATCGACGAAATATAATGGGGGCATCAACTTGTTTGTTGGAAGAATGGATTGCAGAAGATCAAGCAATGTTCAAAAACCATTTAAGAATGTCTACAGTGCAATTTGAACAACTCCTTGAGAAAGTGACGCCACTAATTAGGAAGCAAAACACAAATATGAGAGAAAGTCTTCCTCCCAGGCTAAAACTGCAAATCGTACTGAGATATGTTGCATCAGGAGATTGCTTTGCAACACTAGAAGCATTATACCGTATACCAAAATGTTCTATTTCTCGGTTTTTACCAGAAGTATTGGCTGCCATTTACAAGGTTCTTGAAGAATATATAAAAGTAAGTATAGTTACCTATATACATTAAAATAACAAGGTACATCATCATTGTTATAACACACATTTATTTTATTGAAAAAATTATAATGAAACAATACATTTTATTTACCGATAACCAATAGTAGACAAGGCTTGGGATATTATATCCCCGGCTGGCTGTTCTGCATATGTTTCTTCTTGAGTGGCATTTGGTACAGAATTCGACAGGTCAGTAGTATGTGTCAAGTGAGTAAATGGTGAAGCCGTGGGAGTGGAAGTCTCAGAATAGGAATTTATTTCATAGGATGTTATCGAGTTTGACATGCCATCATCCGGCGAGGGGGAGTAGGTCCACTGTGGCGTAGATTGAGAAACATTCTGCCTAGATTTTTCCAATCTGAATAAATACATTCGCTCTTCAGTCATTACTTTTAGCAGTTTTTCCTGACAAAGTAAAGCGCGATCCAAAGGCATTCGGTTAAGTTGAGCTGCCAGACTTTTGCAAAAGTGATCAAATTCATTGTCACTCTCTGTGGCTGAATTATTTGCAGAAATTGAAGATAATTTATCAATTGCCCTTTCTACATCCGAAATCTCAGA